GAAGTCCTTGGTATTATTTGAGATTCCACCTACAAAATATCTTGATTTCTTTCTTGGTACCCATACTTTATTGGGTTCATGGGGATTAGTCTCAAAAACATTTAATCTCATAAAAGGTTTAGGAGAATCAAAACCAATGCCTACTTTGTAAAAAACACATCTTTTATTTCCAAGAAGCTTGTTGAGGTTTTCTTTTCCTTTTACAAAATTTTCAAGAGTTTTGTTTAAATCCTCAACATTGTTTTTCAAAATGTTTTTCTCATTAGCAATAGACGTGAAGTCATTTTTCAAAGTAGCATTTTCCATTTTTAAAACAGCCACATCATTTGAAAGAGAAGTAACTAATTTCTTTAATTTAGAATTCTTAGCACAAACGTTTTTAAATATGTCACGTAATTCATTGAAAGCACTTTTAAGTTCTACATAATTAGAAATTATCTCATCTTGAGTGGATTCTTCTTCTTCAAGGGCCTGAGACACAAGTTGGCTACTCCATCATTTTCTCCCCAAATGGCTTCCTTTTTGTTACCATCCATCATTGAAAGTTCATGAGCCATGAGTGAGCCTAGAAGTTCTTCAATGCCTAATTTTGTCAGGTCTTTTGCTTCTGGATAGCTACAACCTTAGCTTCCCATTCACTTGGCAAAGACCTAAGTATTTTTCTTACAAGCTCATCATTAGTATAAAATTTACCAAGAGATTTTAGAGCATTAATAATATTGGTAAATTTATAAAACATCTCAGAAATAGATTCAAATGATTCCATAGTAAAGAGTTCATAATCATGAATAAGCATGTCAATCCAGGACTCTTTTATTTGGCTAGTTCCTTCATAGGTAATTTCAAGTTTATCCTAAATCTTTTTAGCAGTAATACACCCAGAAATTCTATTGTACTCATTTGCATCTAACCCACATACAAGAATAAGCTTGGCTTTAATATTAGCTTGAAGGAGTTTATAATCACGCTCATCAAATTCATCCTCAAGTTTAGGCACACCAATATGGTCTACTACCTTGGTAGAGATTTTAGGACCTTTAGTGATAATGAGCCACAAAGCATAATTAGTAGCTTGAAGATACAAAGTCATTTTTTCTTTCTAATGAATGTAATTACTACCATCAAAGAGAGGTGGCCTATTGCTAGCTTGTCCTATAGCAGAGTAAGTAGAATACATGGTTGTTATAGATCAAAAACTTAAGATTGTTAAATCTAAACAAGAGCTCCAGGCTCTGCTACCAATTGTTACCCAAAAAGCAACTTAAGAGGGGGTGAATTAGGTTTCTACAAATTAAAATTAATAATACCCCAATAAAATTAACTACTAATACAACAAATTATTAACAAGCACAATGATGAACTTAGCAGTAAATGATCAATCAAAATAATAATGAAGTATAAGTAACATACAGGGTAAATCAAATGATTGACACATGAATATTAGATAGCTATAGCAGTAGTAGGAAAGTAAAGAGATCAGGGAAAAGGAGACAAACAGATTTATAGTGGTTCGGCTTCAACCAAGTCTGCATCTACTCCTCAAGCTTCACTTGAAATTTTCCACTATCTGCTAGCTTCACAGGGATGCTAACAACCTCTTTACAAATGGAGCAATCCTTCACAGATTTTGTATAGACTTCACAAGCCCAAACCCTTGCAAATCTTAGGTGATTCACAATCACTCTCAAGATTTCAAGAATACAGTAGGAGACAAACAGATTTATAGTGGTTCGGCTTCAACCAAGTCTGCATCTACTCCTCAAGCTTCACTTGAAATTTTCCACTATCTGCTAGCTTCACAGGGATGCTAGCAACCTCTTTACAAATGGAGCAATCCTTCACAGATTTTATATAGACTTCACAAGCCCAAACCCTTGCAAATCTTAGGTGATTCACAATCACTCTCAAGATTTCAAGAATACAGTGTTTGCAACACTTTTACAAGATGAAATGGTATTTTTGCTTTCAAAAAATACTTACAATAAATATCTCTCAAAGATAGATATAAAAGTTTTGATTTTTCTGTAAATCTTACATAGGAAAGATAAGTTTAATGCTATAAGGCTCAGTGTATAATTTCTGAGAGATGATACAAACAAAAATTGAAGAACACTTCTAAGAGAATTTTTCAGAGAATAGATGAGAGTGATTATAGATCAAAGAATATTTTCTGGTTTTTCTTGTCACTTGTTTACATTAGAGGCTTTAGTATATATAATGAAAATTATAGCTGTTTATAGCCGTTGTATTCATTTGAATTTATAGTCGTTTATAGCCGTTGTACTTCCATCATTACCAATTTGAATATCTTTCACTCCATCATTACAAATTTGAATATTTTCCACTTGAACCTTTTGAATCTTTTGGCCTTTTGAACCTTTATAGCCGTTGTACTTCCATCATTGCTAATTTGAATATCTTCCACTTGAACATTTTAACCTTTTGGCCTACTGTTGTTCTAGGCTATTTGAACCTTTGTTTTGGGCTGTTTAAACTCCTGATTTAATCAAATATTAAATACATTCTAACAACATTTAGGATAAAGGTTTAGGTGAGAAATAATGGGACAAAATAAATTTTGATTCTATTTTTCTCTTTCAAATAAATCATCAAAAAAATTTTTGATTAAAATATAATTAAATAAATCATCAACATAAATTTTGGATTCTATTTTTCTCTTTCAAATAAATTAAAATATAATTAAATAAATCATCAAAATAAATAAGTCTAACATATTTATTTTTACTTATTTTATAATTTCTTATTATTTGCATTAGTTTCAGTTAATTTAATCGTATTAAAAAAAAATCTTTAGTATGGAATCAATTAAGTTTCAGTTAGTTTAGGCACATTGATATGGTCTTCCCAGAGAATCTCTCCAGAGAAATTCTCTGGATTCCAGTCTAAAGATTTTCTCTGGATTTTCTCTCGATTTCAAGTAACAATAATGAAGAGTTCAAGGAACAGACCATCTAGTTTCACTATCACGCCCCAAAATTTTAACAATTAAATATTAAATTAGAACTAAACCTCAATCAATATTCCATCATCCAAATCCTAGGGGTAAAATAAAATTTAAACGTTCTCGTCTCCATAAGTTTTAAGTAAATTTTCATCCTCAAAAGATTACAAGAGATTTAAAAAAAAATAATTAAGAAATGCCAACCAAACTATTCATCATAGATTCATAACTATCCAATACCTCCAACATTAAAGTAACAACAACTAGTCAAAACAACTTAAATAATGTAAAGTTACAAACCATGCCAAATTTTCAAAATACTAAGGTCATAAAAAAAATAATAAATATATAAACTAATGTCAACCAAAAGCTCAAGAAAACAAAAAAAGTCCAAATGACATGTCCAACAACTACAGCTATTTCTCTTCACCACCGTAATCCCAACTAATCCTGCAAAGGAAGCTTGGCTGCGCTCAAACAGCACGCACCCGAGTTACCAATAGACAAAACGGGTCAGTATACAGGTATACTGGTATGAGTATAAGATTTAACAATCACATGTCCGCCAGACACAAACAAAAATACATTTAATTCTTGTTACGGGACAAGACAAGTAGTTCCATCCGCACTGAGACGAATGGATAGTTTCCCGAGATACGGTGGCATTTAGTTTATTGCCCGTACATAACGAAATATAAAAGCCCTACATAAAAAGTTAGTAAGACCCACCATTCTGCAAAAAAAATAAAATTAGTATAATTTAATCATAAGTAACTTGTTGAAGAAGTATAAAAATGCACCGTTTCATTCTTAAATAATTCGAATTGACCAAAACTCAAAGAACAAAAGTTGTATAGAATCAAATTTCCTAAAAGGTAACTCGGACAAATTTAGTACAAACTGAACAATGTAAGATGAATTTTTTTGGGAAAGTTCAAAACACGAAAAGTGTTCAGAATAATATTTTACTTTAATTTATTTGAAACCAATAAAAATGAGCTCATTTCGTTGGTTAAAACATATAAAGTATGCACTGCTAAAATGAATAAAAACTATTATAACCAAGATCATCTGATTGCAAGTTCTAATCGATCTTTTTAATAAAAAGTTAAAACACAAAAGTTGTCTAGAATCACGTATACATGTCTCTGCTCAAATTTCATAATTTATCAAGATTGTTTATTATTTTTTTAAGATGTACAAATCAATACAATTTACACTATAACAATAAACTTAGCTCATTTCGTTGGTTAAAACATCTAAAGTATGCACTGCTAAAATGAATAAAAACTATTATAACCAAGATCATCTGATTGCAAGTTCTAATCGATATTTTTAATAAAAAGTTAAAACACAAAAGTTGTCTAGAATCACGTATACATGTCTCTGCTCAAATTTCATAATTTATCAAGATTGTTTATTATTTTTTTAAGATGTACAAATCAATACAATTTACACTATAACAATAAACTTATATTTAATTATTTGTACCTTAACTCCACCACTTCGACCTCCACTTCCGGCCTACACATATATCCCATGTGCCTTCTATATTCCTAACATCGCTCCGAAGCCAAACTTTCACGGGGATATCGTTCCGAGTTTGACCCACACTCCCCGAATGGTTAGCATATACGTACGCACGTAAATCAAAGCACTCGTCTACTCATGAGAACGAGGAAACAATATATATACACAATCTCTCATCTACTCATGAGAACAAATATAACAATGTCAAGCCTAGGGCATTCAAATAAATCTCATAATCCTCACTTTTTTTTTCTTATACACTCTTTCTCACCATCACTCAAATAAAAACAATCCATGGAGTCATGGTGGAATATAAGGAATTTATTTATAGGTTCCTAATTAATTTTAATTTCATATATCTATGAGTGTGATTACAACCATAAAATAAATCCATATAAAAACCCTAAACATGGCATACCAAACTAATCAAGATAATTAAAATCAATGAATCATCTAAAAGCCCTAAATCTTACATACACAACTAATCAAAATAATTAAAATCGAGCAATCATCTGCATACAAATACAAAATCAATTCAACATCAAATAAATAAAAATAACGAATTAAACATAAATCAAGATAAGTGGGTTTTGCACTCGCAATATTTTTTTGAAGATCAAAGAAATATTTGGAGAATTAATGGAGCCATCAAAACAAAACCCTAACCCTTTCTTTTTCTTCCCTCTCATCTTTCTCCCCTTGCCGTCGTCTCTCTGTTTGCTCTTAAGAGCTAATCTCCTCTTCTTTCTTTGATGACTCTCTCTCTCTCTCTCTCTCACTCACTCACTCACTCGACTGCTCTACATCACAAACCCCTTTATTTTTTTGTTTTGCTAGATAACCTAATTGACTTATTATAATATATAAATACAACATAATTACAACATATATAAATATAAATATAATATTAAATATATATATATATATATATAACACCTTTTTTTTTATATAACAAATATAAATATATAAATATTTGGATTAATTATATATAATTAAATAACACATTAAATTCTCATGTAACCACACAGTTAATAAAGCCAATTATAAAGTAAGATCGTAATAATAATAATAATAACAATAATAAATAAATAAAGACTAACGAAAAATCAGGGTCGCTACAATATACACAACTCAAAAGAATCTCGTCCCGAGATTCGATAGGAAAAAGTACTAAACAGAAAACTCCGGGTGCATACGCCGAACTTTCTTTTTCAATTCCCAAGTGATATTGTTCTCATCCTCACTCCATTGCACTTTCACCAAGTTCAATTTCTTGCACCGCAACTGCTTTACAGCCTAGTCTAAAATAGTAACCAGTCGCACCACATACGTTAGACCGTCACTAATCTCCAACACATCTGGTGATACTGCTTGGGAAGGGTCTTGCACACACTTCCGCAATAAAGATACGTGGAACACGTTGTGAATCATAGCTAAAGTAAGTGGTAGAGCTAGTTTGTAAGCCACATTACCAATCCTCTCAGTGATCTCATATGATTCTACAAATCTAGGTGCCAACTTTCCCTTTTTCCCGAACCGCATAATACTATTCATCGACGAGACCTTCAAAAACACAAAATCTCCAACATTTAACTCAACCCCCTTATGTTTTCTATTAGTGTAACTTTTCTGGCGACTATGTGTAGTATTAATATGTTCCCGAATAATGTTCACCTTCTCTGTAATCTTTCTCATCAACTCTGGCCCCAACAACGGCGCATCTCCTATCTCCATCCAATAAGCAGGTGATCGACATGGCCTCCCATACAAAGCCTCAAAAGGTTTCATCCTGATACTGGAGTGATAGCTATTATTATAAGCAAACTCCACCAGTGGCAAGTGTTCTTTCCAACTACCACCAAGATCGAGGACACAAGCTCTCAACATATCTTCCAAGATCTGATTTACCCGCTCAGTTTGCCTATCCGTCTGAGGATGATAAGTCGTGCCTAACCTAGCACCCAAAGCATATTGAAAACTCTCCCAAAACTCTGCCACAAACAACAAATCACGATCCGAAACTATAGAAACTAGTGCGCCAGGAAGTCGCACCACCTCCTGAATATATAGCCTAGCTAGTTTATAAGCAGTTCGGTGAACACTGATACGAATAAATGAGCAAACTTGGTGAGTCGATCTACTATCACCCAAATAGATTCATTGCCTCGATTAGACCGCGGTAATCCATCCACGAAATCCATAGAGATGTACTCCTATTTCCAAGTAGGGATCTCGAGAGGCTGCAAAAGCCTAAATGGTCGTTAGTGTTCTGCCTTAACCTGTTGACACACATAACATTGAGAAATATACTCTCCTACGTCCTTCTTCATACCTTTCCACCAAAACATCCTCTTCAAGTCATGATACATTTTGGTCCCACTGGGTGAATGGTATATCGGGACCTATGAGCATCATCCATAATCTCTTTTCTCAATTCAACAATGTTAGGTACACACAACCTGCCCTTGAATCGCAATCCCCCATCTGAGTTCACAGACCAATCAGTAGGACAATTATCGATCAAATCCACTACAAGGTTATCGAGCTTGTTGACGAGAAACCTATCTAAATTCTGCATCTGGCGAACTTTACCCAGTAACGTCAGTTGCACTATCAAACTACCAATGTATGCCCTCTCAGCACTCTATATTGGTTGAACATCACGCATCGAAATTAACTCCAAGGACATCCATTCCTCAATCATCAAAGAAGCTATAATCACATGTTGTCGACTAAGTGCATTTCCAACCACATTTTCTTTTCCCGGGTGGTAAAAGATCTCGAAATCATAACTACTGATGAATTCAACCCACCTCTATTGTCTCATGTTCAACTCCTTTTGAGAAAAAAGATATTTAAGACTCTTGTGATCTGTGTACAACTCAAAGCACTCCCCAAACAAGTAGCGTCGCTACACTTTCAACGCAAAAGTAACTACTAACTCTAAGTCATGAGTAGGGTATCGTCTCTCATGAGGTTTTAACCATCGAGAAGCATAAGATATAACCTTCTGATGCTGCATCAATACACATCCCAACCTAATTCCACTTGCATCAGTAAACACAACTAACTTTTCCCCTTGTACTGGTATAGTTAACACCGGAGTTGTAGTCAACCGCTGCTTTAACTCCTGGAAAGCTTTTTCACAATCATCTGTCCATAAGAACTTTACATTCTTGCGGGTCAACTTGGTCATGGGTGCTGCAATAGTGGAAAACTTCTCTATAAATCTCCTGTAATAACCGGCCAGTCCTAGAAAACTCCTCACATTTGAAGGGTTCGTGGGCTGCTTCCATTTTTTGATTGCAATAGCTTTCTCAAGATCTACCGCTATCCCTTGATTGGATACAACATGTCCCAAAAATCGAACTTTTTTCTCCCAAAAGTGACACTTACTAAACTTAGCATATACCTGCTACTCCCTTAAAGTCTGCAACATGACTTTCAAGTGTTCTCTGTGCTCTTCCTCATTCTTAGAATACACCAGGATATCATCTATAAAGATAATCACAAACTTATCTAGACATGGTTGAAAAATTCTGTTCATCAAGTCCATAAAATAGGCAGAAGCATTTTTCAAACCAAAAGGCATTACAGAAACTCGTACAATCTATACCGAGTTTGAAAAGCAGTAAGCGGTATACTTTCCTCTGACACACCCATCTGATGGTAACCCGTTCTGAGATCAAACTGAGAGAACATGGCTGCCCCCTTCAACTGATCAAACAAGTCATCAATTCTAGGTAGCGGATACTTGTTCTTGATAGTCACATTGTTTAGCTCTTTGTAATCTATGCATATACGGAGAGCGCTATCTTTCTTGGAGACAAAGATCGCAGGTGCTCCCCATGGGGAGTTAATTAAACGAATGAACCCTTTTTCTAAAGAATCTCTTCCAGTTGCTTCTTCATCTCCACAAGCTCTTTAGACGCCATTTTGTATGCCGCCTTAGAAATCGGTGCAGTTCTCAGTGCTAAGTCAATGCGAAATTCTATTATCCGTTGATGTGGAGGTCCAGGTATCTCCTGAAATACATCCTCAAACTCACGCACCACATCTACCTCACTAATATCCTGCGCAGGGATTTCTACCAAGCACAGAAAACTTGTCATCACCAACTCTTCTCTATCGCTAGAAGTGTGGGTAAGTTGTGGCATACCGAGAATATCTATATTTACAGTTTTTCCAGCACAATCTAGAGTCACAAAGTATTTTCGCAGCCAATCCATACCTAAAATAATTGTAAACCCCTCAAACCCTAACACAATTAGGTCTGCGTACAAGACTCTACTCGTAAAGTCAATCTCAAAATCTTTACACATCTCATAGAGAGTAACTACTCCTTCTAAAGGGGTCTCAACACGAATAGGTCTAGACAAGAAGGTAGTTACAATATGTTTTCTGTCTAAAAACTGTCTAGATATAAAAGAATAAGAGGCACCAGTATCAAATAGTACTCTAATAGGTTCTTGAAAAAGATTAAAAGTACCTTGTACTTTGTCATTTCCTGGTATCACTGCAAATGCCCTGGCTGGAGCTGTCTGACCCTGTCGCGTCTGCTGTCTCTGAAGGAAATCCTTGATTACATGCCCCAACTGCTAACACCTAAAACACTTCCTATAGGTCGGTTGAGGTGCTACTGGTCTGATAGGTAGGGGCCCTTCTAACTGAGGTACGGGAGGACGATAACCCAACTGTGGCACTTACTGTCGCTGTCCTTGATAACCCTTGGGGCTGGAAATTACCTTAAGGCCTGAAATTACCTTGAGGTCCGAAATTTACCTGACTACCTTGTTCCTGTGGCCTTTGAAACTGCTAACCCCTATGCCTTTGATCATAGGGTCGGTATCTGTTCCCATCCCGCTGCTAGAAGTGACTCTCTCTAGAAATCTCTACGACCTTGGCCTTCCTTTTTTTAAACTGCTTCTCATTTTCCTTATACTTTAGTGCCAAGTCAAGAACTCTGTCAAATGGTTCAGCATCAAAAGGAATAAGGGACTTAGACAGGTAATGATTCAATCCCTTAATAAACTTCTCATTCTTCTTCTCCTGCGTGTCGACCAAGTAAAGGGCATAACGAGACAACTCATTAAACTTGGTGACATACTCGATCATTATTCTACCCTCTTGAGTCAACTTTGAAAATTCATTACTCAGTTGAGACCGAATAACAGCAAGAACAAACTTCCGGTCAAAACGAGTCTTGAAATCTGTCCAAGTCAAAGTCATTAAATCTAGACCCTCCTTACACGAGTTTCACCAAAATAAGGCTGTTCCTTAAGATGATGTGTCGCCAACTCCTGTTTTTGAACCTTGGTGAGCTCCATACGACCAAACATCATCTCATATTTCTGAACCCAAGCGTCAGCTGCAATTGGTCCTCCATCTCCAGAGAATTTTTGACCTCCTAAAGAACCAAAGTCTTTGTTTCTCTTCACAAAGGGCTCTCCCTGCTGGCCTAGACTATTGTTCTGAACAACCTAAAGTAACTGAGCTATCATCTCCCCCACATTAATCTGCATCGTATTGGTTGCCTCGGTAGCAATCGCCGCTGCCGTTGCATTAGTAGCTGTTTCTTCCCCTGTGCCACTAGGCTCAGCGCTTCTCAAATTATACCTTCTAGCCATCACCTTCAAGTTAAACACATAAGAAGAATTCATTTATAAATACTTAGAATAAATTTAACCACCAACCTAAACCAGCTAACCCATGTTTCCACAATTCGAGGATCACCTAAACTCTCATAAGTTTAGGGTAACCTAGAGCTCTGATACCAAACTGTCACGCCCCAAAATTTGGACAATCAAATATTAAATTAGGACTAAATCCCAATCAATATTCCATCATCCAAATCCTAGGGGTAAAACAAAATCTAAACGTTCTCGTCTCCATAAGCTTTAAGTAAATTTCTATCCTCAAAAGATTACAAGAGATTAAAAAAAAATAATTAAGAAACGCCAACCAAACTATTCATCATAGATCCATAACCATCAAATATCTCCAACATTAAAGTAGCAACAACTAGTCAAAACAAATTAAATATTGTAAAGTTACAAACCATGCCAAATTATCAAAATACTAAGGTCATAAAAAATAAATAAATACATAAACTAATATCAACCCTAAGCTCAAGAAAATAAAAGAAGTCCAAACGACATGTCCAACAACTATAGTTATTTCTCTTCACCACCGTAATCCCAACTAATCCTGCAAAGGAAGCTTGGCTGCGCTCAAACAACACGCACCCGAGTTGCCAAGAGACAAAACGGGTTAGTATACAGGTATGCTGGTATGAGTACAAGATTTAACAACCACATTTCCACCAAACACAAATAAAAATACATTTAATTCTTGTTACGCGACAAGACAAGTAATTCCATCCATACCGAGACGAATGGGTAGTTTCCCGAGATACGGTGACATTTAGTTTCTTGCCCCGTACATAACGAAATATAAATAGAGTATAAAATAAACAAAATAAAAATAAAAATATAGTGGGTCAACCCTGCATAAAAAGTTAGTAAGACCCACCATTCTGCAAAAAAATAAAGTTAATATAATTTAATCATAAGTACCTTATTGCAAAAGTATAAAAATGCACCGTTTCATGCTTAAATAATTCGAATTGATCAAAACTCAAAGAACAAAAATTGTACAGAATCAAATTTCCTAAAAGGTAACTTAGATGAATTTAGTAGAAACTGAATAGGCTGAGAGAAAAATTTAATAGAAAATCCTAATTGAATTTGATCGAAAAATCTGGAACTGAAAACGAACAGAAACTGCTGTAAAATGAATTTTTTTGGAAAAGTTTAAAACACCAAAAGTGTTCAGAATTTTATTTTAGTTTACGCAAAACCAATAAAAATAAACTCATTTCGTGAGTTAAAATAGCATCTAAAGTCTGCATTGTTAAAATAAATAAAAACTATTTTAACCAAGATCATTCGATTATAAGTTTTAATCGATTTTTTTAATAAAAATTTATAACACAAAAATTATCTAGAATCACGTATACATACCTCTGCTCAAATTTCATAATTTATCAAGGTTGTTTACTATTTTTTTAAGATGTACAAATCGATACAATTTACATTATAACAATAAACTCATTTTAATTCTTTGTACCTTAACTTCACCACTTCGCCCTCCACTTCCGGCCTACACATATATCCCATGTGCCTCCCGTATACCTAACATCGCTCCGAAGCCAAACTTGCACAGGGATATCGTCCCGAGTTTGACCCACACTCCCCGGATGGTTAGCATGTACGTTCGCATGTAAATCAAAATACTCGTCTATGTTAGACTTATTTATTTTGATGATTTATTTAATTATGTTTTAATTTATTTGAAAGAGAAAAATAGAATCCAAAATTTATTTTGATAATTTATTTAATTATATTTTAATCAAAATTTATTTTGATGATTTATTTGAAAGAGAAAAATAGAATCAAAATTTATTTTGATGATTTATTTGAAAGAGAAAAATAGAATCAAAAATTATTTTGTCCCATTATTTCTCACATAAATATTTATCCTAAATATTGTTAGAATGTATTAAATATTTGATTAAATCAGAAGTTTAAACAGCCCAAAACAAAGGTTCAAACAGTCTAGCACAACAGTAGGCCAAAAGGTTCAGAAGGTTAAAGTGGAAGATATTCAAATTAGCAATGATGGAAGTACAACGGCTATAAACGGCTACAAGGGTTCAAAAGGCCAAAAGGTTCAAAAGGTTCAAGTGGAAGATATTCAAATTTGTAATGATGGAGTAGAAAATATTCAAATTGGTAATGATGGAAGTACAACGGCTATAAACGGCTATAAATTTAAATGAATACAACGGCTATAAACGGCTATAACTTTCATTATATATACCAAAACCTCTAATGTAAACAAGTAACAAAAAACCTGAAAATGTTCTTTGATCTATAATCACTCACATCTATTCTTATAAATTATACACTGAGCCTTATAGCTTTAAGCCTATCTTTCCCGTGTGAGATTTACAGAAAAATCAAAGTTTCATTTTATATATCTATCTTTGAGAGATATTTATTGTAAGCTTTATTTGAAAGCAAAAATGCCATTTCATCTTGTAAAAGTTTTGCAAACACTGTGTTCTTGAAATCTTGAGAGTGATTGTGAATCACCTAAGATTTGCAAGGGTTTGGACTTATGAAGTCTGTGTAA